GAATATAATCAAAACTAATTATTCCCACCAAATCAAAGCTTATCAATGAAACATATGAAAAATGGCTCAGTCAATGCTTCTATTTAAGATTTTGTACAAAATGATAGTGAAAAGACAATTCGACAAGCTAATTGATGAGTACGATATGTAAATYGATTGATCTCGCCGACGTCTAGAATTCGTTGTTTTCATGTATCTTTCAGACCTCAGTACTTCACGCTAAAGAATTTCTCCAAAATATATTTTCATGTTTCGAAACCTTTAGCCATTCGAGATTAAACTGATTTGTTTTTCTTGAAAAAATAATTCGTCGGACATAGCATAAATTTTAATTTCAATTTAACAAGGAGCCATTTTTGAGCAGTTGTTTTATGCCGGTCAAGAATAAAATTCGTTACTAAATATGAATTTGCGTTTTAAAGTGCTGAAACCTGTCYAGAATTATATAGAGTGATAAACTTGTGTGGGAAATTTGAAATCACTAGGTATTTTTGTCTTGATTTTGTGAGCTTTCAAAGTTGATGTAAATTACTACCGAAAAATAAACTAGGCCGTATTTCATCAAATTAACTACACAGCGTTTATTCTTGCATTGAGGCTTATCAATGGGCAGAATATGAGCGAAATATATTTTCGAGCTTTGCCGCCATATGCTCGACTTTTACAGGCAACCGCTCTTAAAATGATAACTATTCCATCTTCGGCCCCGACACGTGCGAATGTACCAGTGGCRGGATAACTGAAGGCTTGGTAAATGACTTTTAGAGGGCTTATGATGAATGTGGAATTTTCCTGTGTTTGCTGGACCATTTCTGTACTTTGTACGCCCAAATTGTAGAGCTTGATAAATAGCACCACAGAAGCTTGATAAGTTGATTTCATTTCGATGTAATATATCTAATGCACATTTCATCCATTGACCACTACATCCAGATACACTTTAGGATTCATAGGCTTCCATTAGGAGTTCTAACCTTGTTTCCTGCTTTCGATCTCGCCAATACTTGCGGAGTTTCGTTAAATTCCTTAGCCAAATCTAGGGCTTCATCCACACTTTACTACATCTGTTGGCAATGAATTCCGCGAGTTTGGTTTTGCCTTCTTCTTTTTGTTTCATGGCTAAGCATATAAGCTCCAAACGCCGTGTTAATATTACTTTGACGGATGATTTCTACGACGTCATAAGKTAAGTTCCTTTTCTTTGCCTTCTTTGTAGTTGTTTTTAAATTATTCTTGCCTTTYTTGGCTGCTATGGCTTTCTGTGTCACTGGTGGATCTCTTAGCTCAGGATGGCCTTATGATGTTATGTACTCCTTATCGTCTTTCTTAAGATATCGATACGCACTATAATGGGTCGTGTGTACATCGCTAAAATTGGCTCGTATGACGTCATACGGTGATTCGAGATATTGCCGTAC